TTGATGGGATTTCACAGAAATGAACAAAAAATCTCTTTACAAGTTGCACAACCAGAAGCCTGCATAAAAAAATGAATTAGACACTGAATATAGACTGTAAATGCTGAGCTTGCATCAAAGGTTACATAACCTGTTAGGGTATTTATTCAGTCATATACAGTATTCACTCATTCTCAGTCGTTTAGAGTATGTGTTGGGGATGACTCTCAGGTACTGCCACCAAGTTTTAGTTCAATTTTGATTAAAAATAATTGTGAGTTACATTTTTTGTGTGTGATTTTTTTTTTGTTAACATAGGTCAAATAGCTGTTAACTTCAAAAGTTAATACCAAACTTTTAAACAAAGATCTTGAACAAACTGTTAGAACTCAGAGTGGATAACTCAGCTACTACCACACTGAAATTTATGTAGGTATATGGAAAATTTACGGAGTTATCCATATTCTTATGTTTGCTAAAGTGTGGCAGCCATCTTGGATTAATTTACCTCTAAAAATTAATCAGTTGTAGATGTATGTCCGTTTATTACTTCCTTGGATGTTCATTAAAATCCATCTGGATCATGATATTTTGCAAGCAGACATTTAAAAAAAACACACAGGCAATGACATTATCGTTCGCCATCAATAAAAGCTCAGCAGATTAAAACTCAATTAAATGTATCTTACAAAGTTCAATAAATGTATTGTTTCTCAGCAGAAGCACAAATGTTAACAAATTTAATTTATATTAAATTTTGCTGTGTTTTGTGTGTATTTTTCGTTATCTTTTATTTATTTATTTGGCTGCTCCCTTCCTTAGGGGGCACCATAGTGATCAATCTTCACACAAAGAATTTGGCAATTGTTTTCCACTGGATATCCTTTCTGACACAACCTGGACTCAAACCTGCAGCCTCAGGATTACAAGACTGTGGCACTGACCACTGAGCTACCGCAGTCTGGGGTGTGCATAGGAGGACCAATAAAACATTGTGATCATTTCAAATAGATGTCACAAGCACACTAATATATGCTCCACCAGCAGAATGTTGAATTTCACATAAAATCCACTGATGTAGCACTTTCCCATGAGGTTGCAGGCAGATGTGGAATTGTTTATTTCTGCTTTAAAACACAACTCTTGTCAAATAATAAGTATATGACTTCACATTTCTCTGGGGTGCTTGGTGGTCAGTGCCGCAGTCTCTTGGGCTGCAGGTTTGAGTGCAGGTAGAAGGGCATCCGGCATAAATCAATTGCCGAGTCTTTCATGTGAGTTTGCCCACTGCTGTCACCCCTGTGAACCCCAGTAGGTCAAAGGACTGCTCTCTTCTGGACAGAGATCTTTGTGGTTGTTCCTGGGATCTGCAGCAGCTACTCTTCTAGTTTGGTGGTCACCTCTGTGTTTCAGTGACCACTGGGACCACTGAGGCCATGACTTTCCACAGCTTCCATTTCAGCCTCATGTATTACTCAAGGATGTTGCGTTATCTATCACTACTGCCCTCTTCTGTAGTTTGTCGACGGTGTGGAAGTCCCACAGGATCTTAGCCATGTAAATCTTTACCACCCTTCAAGTAGTCTCTCACTTTGGCTGTGGGACCTTCAATCCATGCAGATGTTTCTGTGCACCATTCCAGCCTCTATAATTGTCACACTGTTGGGAGCTTTGTTTTACTTTTGTGCATTGAATCAAACTTGTGCTTGGTGTTCTTGTGCTTTATTGTGGGTTTGAGTAATTTTCCTAATCAGCTTTAGTTATAGTTTACTACCTCTAGATACCCTTAGTTTAACTCTTCACTTACCGCTCATCCTTAACCAGCTCACTTGGTGTCATTGATCAATCTCACTCCCTGTACTCATTGACTGTCAGCAGTCTTAGTCAGATCCTTCCCTTTATCCTAGACTTTTCCACAGTCTGCCTCCAACATGCCTGCATTTAGGTTGTACTACAACCCATTCCTCTGTGCCATGATTAGTTCCTCTGTGCTGTCCTTCAGTCCAGCTCTCTCAATGATCAGGGGCCGAGATGGGGTAGAAGTAGGGCAGCCGACTTGGGACCAGAAAGTCGTGGTTCGACTTCCAGCCATTCGCACATGTTATGGTGTCTCTGAGCAAGACACCCAATTCCAATTGCTCCGCAGGTTCTTACATAGCTGCCCACTGCTCCACCTAGGTGTATCTCACGTGTGATGGGTTAAATGCAGAGAACTAATTTTGCCATTGTATGGGAACATACAATGACGACAATCTCAGACTTCCCTTCCCTTCAAGCCCCTGGTTGGATTTGGTGATTTCAGGCTTGTCCTCCACCCTCTGATGGTACATGATGTGCAGGGGCTTTCCTTTTGACACGGTTCTGTCTGTTTCTGTTTTCCTGCTCCTCTGTGTCTGTCGTCTTTGTGGTTCCATGTCTTTGTTATCCTCTTCTGTTTTCTTGTATTTTTGTTATTTTGTTCCTGATGTTTTGTCTCTGTCATTTTCTCACTCACTCCTCAGTTTGTCTCTCCAGTCTAATCATCCACACCAGTTAGCAATTAGTATTATCCCAGGTGCACTCATCATCTCTCTCTCCCTTAGCCTTACTTAAACCTCTCCTCTTCACTACTCCAGGATCTGGTCACTGTTCTGTTTCCACACAGATGACTCAGTTCTCTGCCGTTCCTGTCTGTCTGATGATCTGTCTGAATCTGTAACTCTGATTTCCTGGTCCCTACCTGCTTGTCTGTCGTTAGTTGTGTTCAGTTTATGCTTGCCACGTGCTTGAGTAAGTTTTGTTGCCTTGTCAGCTTTTTGTTTTTGTTGTTTAAAATAAATTATTTTTATTTTAAACTTCTGCCTGACTTGCCTGCCTGCAAATGGGTCTAAAACCTGAGGATTGTGTCACTTTTTTAAGTTGTTTCTTCTTCTTTCTTCTTTTCCATGGTTGGTTTCTGCTGTACCACATAACAGGGTGTTGGACTTGGGGCAAAACCATCCATCCTTGTTGGAAATAGGAACTTCCTCCTATTGATATCAGTGGCTTTTATCTCCTCTGGCCAGGTGAGGTGACTGATGATGGCTTGGAGTTTGTACCTCAGGATTCTCAGGACCTGCCTTACTCTTTGTAAGAACTTGGTTGTGGCTGCCTTCCTTGCAGCTTCCCCACCCACATAAACCCAAAGCTTCTGTAAGCCTCTTGAACATTTGAAATCTTGTCGTCTTGTAGTTCAACCTTTTTGAGACACTATTCAATTTTATTCATGCAATCGGAACAACATTGTATTGCAATGGCTGAGTATCTTGCTGAATTACCATTCCTTTTTAACATCACTTTCAATATCACATCGTTGATGAAAAAAAAGCTGTTTTAAGTGTGCATGCATACATTGTATTAAAAATGCATTCTCTTGTAAATGCATCTAACAAAATATGAACAAATTGTATCTTAGCAATACATTGCAAATAATGAATACTCATGAAGGCACTTTGATACTTGCAGCCTTATTTGTCTGTAGTGTGCAGACAACACTGGTCCATCCCTCATTGATGATGATTAATGATGAATAATAAATAGTAGGTCAGTGTTAAGTGCCTCAGCAAACAGAAAAGTGCATCTAAAGAAATAGTCAAATTGAAGGACAGTGAACGAAAAAAATCAGTTCATTTTTAGTAAAAAAAAATGTATCTCTTTTAGAAACATTGAAGAACTAAAGTACTCATTTTGTGCACTGGAAGCAAAGTATCTCTAATTACCAGTATTCTTTTTTTTTAGGACAAAGCCTACTTTCCTAAAAAGAATGACCAATTTAATTGTCCCTTTTTCTCATTTTTGAACAAAACCTGTATAAATGCACTTTATATTAACAACAGATCAATCAGTGAATAAAGGGAACACATGAAGGCAAAGGGATCCTGCTTTAGTATGCAGCCTGCACTTCTGCTGTCTGTTGCTGGATGGCTCTGCAGCGTGCTCACTGAGGCCAGTCAGTCAGACAGTAGCAGACAGCTTCATCTCTGACATGAAAAGGCAGTAAGTTGCCCCTCAAGGACCAAATGGCCAGGTTTGATCTCATCACGGATCAGATGCTATCCATTAAATGTTTCCTTACCAGAAAATCACCGTGCTGATTTGCTTATGAAAATCCTGTAGGAGGAAGAGTCCTCTTGAATAGCTACAAAAGCTGTGGAGACGTCGAGGAGAAAGCCTCTGTGCTTCTCAAGCAAGGCACGATGGAAAACGTGTCGTCTTTTGAATCCTTAAGATTTGACAAAAATGACTAACATTTATACCAGGCTTCGAGTGACGTTTTGTTCACCTCTCATTTCTGAGTGCAGTGCACTTTCTCATTGCACCTTTACTGCTTCATTTCCACAACAAAGTTTTGCAGAACTCTGAGCGCATTTGCAACTCCATTACACTTCTTATTACATTCCACATTTTTTATACAAGTGTTGAATGTAGTTCCCCGGCAGGCAAGTTTAGTCACAGTGAGCCAGTTGATTGGTCTCATTCCCTCGTCTCTCTCAGCCGGCGCCCACAGTCGCAAAGTCAAGGCATTGCAAACATGGAACGAAAGCTATGGAGTGATACTGATACCCCCAAAGGTGTGCAGCCCCCTTGCCAGATGTGTGTTTGCGTATGTCAGTGAGTTAATCACAGTTTCATTACTGTGGCTGCTTGTAGATGCACGCGCTGCTCTCCTGTGTGTTAGAGTTGGCCTATTTTTGGGTGGTGAGCAACAAGTTCAGAGATTTAAATTAAACACTTGAAATCTTGCTATCCAAGACCGACTGATGGCACAGTTTCCCATAAAGTAAAGGTAAAGAGCGACTTTGAGACAAAGAAAGAGAGGAGGGTGGGGGTATGGGGGCAGCAAGTTGAAACCTAAGCTCTATGAACCCTGTTTTCCCTGCCTTGGGGCATTCTGTGGCTGGTAAAAATATGTGCTGTATATTTGAAGTGTTGGATCACGTGACAAAGGCAGGGTTTGTGAATCAAAGTACATAAGGATTTCAAGAGGAGCGGGAGAAAGAGAGAAAGAGGGTGTATGTTAGAGACAGGGAAAAGGAGAGAGGAGGAGGAATGCAACAGGCTGAGCTCCGTCGTCGCTGTGAGGCGGACTTTTGACTGACAAACGCAACTTCTCTACGCCTCAACTCACTTCTCCTGATTTAAACTCACCAACCTCCACTCTGTGCGGCGTTCACGTCCCACGTCTGGTAAGTTTGCTTTGCAGTCCTATTCTTCTAACTTCCTTTAGTCGGCAGTTTGTGAGACTAGAGGACAGGCAGAGGACATGTCAGAGCATGAGTGAGAAGTGTTACTCTTGTCCCTCAGCCTCTCTTTGTGAGCAAGCGCTCGTGGGACAGCACGAGCGGGGAGATTGAGTTTCCTCAAGACAGCTTTAATTGAGAACAGAGATTTTGGAAAGGAGCAGAAAGAGCAAAGGAAGGGAATGAAATCCGATCAGGATCTGTGTACGATTTAAAGCTAGAAGTGTGAGAAGATGAATACTTGTTGCCATGTGAAGTTTGTCTTTAGTTTTCTGCTCCTGATTTTACATTCCAATTTATACTTCTTTTATGATTAATATCTGTTTTTTTTTTGTTGTTGTAAATTTAAGAACAGCAAAAAACAAGTGGTAAATTCTTGACGTTCTATAAAATGTATAAGAATTAACACAAAACAAAGCATTTTTCACAGATTTAAACTCCAGTTCCGGTCTGCTTCACAACAATATTAAACAATTTTCCAGCAGCAGACGAAGTGGCCGCCGTGGCCTGAAGGCTCTCAGCCGAATGTCTGTCTGTCAAAGCTGATGGATCACTCCATCAACATCACAAATGACTGAGTACGTCTGGTCTACCTGAGTATATACACGCTCGGTCACTCTTCCCCCCCTGAAGGGAACAACAAAATTGACTATGTCGACAATCACAATCTGCCATGTGTCTGATTGTTGCTGCTGATTTGTGTTCTGTCTGCTGTCCAGAAGGTTTGTGTGAATAAACCTGCTGACCTGCTCCCTTGCATTCAAACCCATATCTTTTTTTACAGACGGAATCATTTCGAATGGCATCCTGTGTGCGACGTGATGCATAAATAAATGCACTGTCTGATTGACGATGGTGACTAAAGTGTTATTTGTATGCTAAGTGATCTCTCGCTACTTATCTTAGCTTTCTGCAGCCATCAGCCGACACTGCACTGATGAGTGCTCACACTACACAAGGCCTTGTTACGAGCTATTCTTGCAAACTCTTCACAAATCTATTCCAGATTAATTTTCCTTTAAATGCCTGAGGGGGTGTTCATCAGTATGTCTCAGGGAACGGTGGATGAGTTTAATAGAGGGCGGAAAAACAAGTGGGTGCGATCAGTTTGTTATATATTAAAGATCATGGTGGGAAAACCGAGTTTCTTCTTTGAGCTCTCGCTCTTTTTCCATGTGGATTTATTTGTTTAGAGCTCAGTCTGTTGGTCGACTTCAGCTTTGAAATGCGTTTGTTGTTGTCTTCAGTTTTCCTTTTGGTTGTGAATAAACTGCTGGAATGGTTTGTGTGTGCTTGCATGGTCATGTGTTAGGGTGTGTTGGGTATAACTTCTTTAACTGTGCTGCAATCTCATCTTTGTTCTCTTTACTTTTGAAGAATGACAGCCCCTCAGGCTCAGAGGGATGTCTGGCTCTTCTCTTTTTTTTCTGTCTGTCCCTCTGTCTTTCTCTTTTAATTCATCTGCATTAAAAAAAAGAGAAAATTCTTTGTCTTCTTTTGTAGTGTGCGTCAGCTGAGTTTAATTTTGAATGTTTTTTTTCCCCTCTGTGTTGCAACACATAAATGAAAAGCTCCATAGATGAGACCATTTGCAACTCATTTCTGATAGCAGAGGCCACCATGTCATTGTCCACAGAATTATTTTGAGGGATTTGGTTAGAGCTGTGTTATGTATGGGACGTTTCCCATTTGCTTCAAAAATTTTAAAGTCTCGTGTGACATTTATTGCTGCTTTCACGTCAGTTTTTTTTTTTTTTTTTCAAACTTTAGGGGCAATGGACTTTGGTGTGTCTTAAGAGAATTCAGTGGTAGTTATGGTCCCAGGTGGCTGCAGCAAAAACCACAAGTTCCACTTTTAACATGGAGGAACAGCTAGAAACTGATTGAGCGTGTGTCTAAGTGTCACTTAATGCTAAATGAAAAGCTGCCTACCTAAAGTCAAAATAAGACCTGACCCATGGCAGAGCTGCAGAGCCTGGAGCGACGGGGGCTGACCCCAGCTCCGACCCGGAGACCCTCAGCAGCCCATAGGCTAGCCTCCGTCATAATGAGAACATTGTGTATTGTATTACACAACGCTATCATCAACATCATCCCTGTTAGTACTGCAAACACAAAACTTCACTCAGTGTTATTCTTCTTGTGACAAAAAGCTGAAATTTTCCAAGAAAAGTGAAGCTTTCACCTTAGTGTCTGACCACGAAGACGTCACAGGATCATTTAAAACGCCGGTTCACAAATAAAACTTGAATCTTTCAATGGTCATCATCAAAATGGGCGATCATATAATAGCCTGTGTTCCTGTGTGTTTCTCTGTCTGTTAGCAAAATATCTCATGATCAGTGGATGAATTTAATCAAACATCCATCCATCCATTTTCTTTACCCGTTTGTTCCATTTTGGGTCACGGGGGTCGCTGGTGCCCATGTCCAGCAATCACTGTGCGAGGGGCGGGGTACACCCTGGACGGGTCGCAAGTCCATCACAGGGCCACATAGAGACAAACGAGACAAACAATCATTCACTCTCTCACTCACACCTAGGGACAATTTAGAGTTACCAATCAGCCTAACATGCATGTTTTTGGTCTGTGGGAGGAAACCGGAGCACCCGGAGAAAACCCACGCATGCACGGAGAGAACATGCAAACTCCACCCAGAAAGGCCCCTGGACCGGGGTTTGAACCAGGGACCTTCTCACTGAGAGGCAGCAGCTCTACCAGTTGCGCCACCGTGCTGCCTTTAATCAAACAATTAGATAATAATCTTTTGATGTACCGGTACATCTGCAAGTGATTTTATTTTGAAATTAACCCCAGTCAAGATGGTTGCCACAGCTAATTAACTTTTTCAAACACATGAAGGGCCATAAATCAGTCAGTTTTATAGATAATAAGCTGAGATTTGGTGCAGTAGTAGCTGAGAGTGATCCTCAACAGAAATCTCAAGCTGTAGCAAATCACACAAAAACTCTATAAAACCTTGGCATTAATTGTAGGAGTGAACTTTGTTAAGAGATAAATCTTGTTAGCGGACATTTATAAAACCTTCACAAAGGAATCAATGGTTGTACATAAATAAAGATGGCTGCAGCAGTTAAATGACTTTTATTAATTAGCTAACTTAGTTGGCTGCATATATATATGAGAGAGCTAAGGGTTTGTGTTGTAGTAGCTGAGTCATCTCCATCAACTCTGACAAATATATGATATCTTTGTTTTAAACTTTGGCATGCAAAGCAGCGGTCGACATGCATTCTGTCAAGAAATACTAGTATCTTAGTGCTGCATATGAGAAAACTGTAGTTGTAATATGATTGTTGTATATTGCAATATCAGTCTTAGTTGCATTAAGTTGAAATTTTCCTCACATCTCTTTCAGGTCCATCATCATGACAATCACAGCGTCTCTGCCTCTATTGTACAAATCAGCTGTGAGCGTTAAGTCAGTGAAAGTCCATCAGTCTCCAGAGTAGTGGTGCTCGATACAACAATTTCCTTTCTGGCTCCGATACTAAGCAAAATTCAGGCTAGTGTCTGCAATCCCGATCCGATATCATTTGTGCAAATACACCCAACGTGTCTGGTAAATTTAAAAAAAAGAAGAAGGAAAAAAAGCAGTGTATTTCAAATCAAAATTTCATAAAGAATACAAGACATCAAAGTAATCATTTTTATTTTAAACAGCCTATAAGTTGCGGTTTTTTTTTTCATAATTTGCATGCCTACAACTTATATGCCGAAGCGAAGTATTTATAGATTTTTTTCCCATATTTATTTTTTTAATTTACCCTTTTTTTATCCAGGTAGTCTCATTGAAGAACTCATTTTCAAGAGGGACCTGTTTAGGGAGCAGATGGTGGGGAATAGGTGCCTTGCTCAGGGGCCCAGAATGGGGCGAATGAGGGTGGAGGGAGGTGTGGATGTTCCACCTTTTCCACACACATTTTGATGTTGACGGTACTGGGAGTTGAAACTTCGACTTTCCGATTACAGGCCTATCTTTTAACCTCTGCGCCACCACTCCCCCAGTGATTATAAACCTATTTTTGGCTGAGATGACCGTTTACATTAATTTTGACTGAAACTATTGAACACTACCATTTTCAGCCACTAGATGGCACTTGAGTAGTATGGCATGCCGTTGTTGCATGCAGCATTTCGCTGCACCGCCCCAGCGAAATGCTGCTAATTTGACCATTGAAGTGCATTTATTAAGTAAAAGTTCAACTGAGACACACCTTTACTATAATGTCGAGCAAACAAATAATTATTTTAGGTGCTTGTTAAATTTCGAAGAAATGCGCAGCGTTTCTCCTTCCTGATTTCCTCCCTCTGCGCACTCCCAGAGCACCGAGGCAGCGGATACTTTTGAAAATGCAGCTGATTTGACCGTCAAAGTGCATTTATTAAGAAAAAGTTAGACTAAGACACACTTTGCTATAATTTTGAGCAAACAAATAATTGTTTTTAAGTGTTAATCTTGTTAAATTCTTGTTAAAGTCCTCCTGTGCATGCTCCTGCGGCCATCATTTGGCAGCCAATCAATTTTTGGCACAACACCGGCCCACATTTCCGGGTTGTCAACGGTGATGCGTAACAAACGCGATACATCAGCGGTGACGCACAATAGATGCAACATATATGGCGAAGCAACATATTTATGGATTTTTCCACGTTATTAGACATATTTGGCCTGATGCGACTTACGTAAAGGGTGGTGCGACCTGTACGGCTGAAAATACGGTATATTGAAGTTGTGGCCTCGTTTACAATATATCTGAACGTATACAGACTAAGAAACTGACTGAGCAGCATGCCACAGTGTTTACATGCAATACGCACTTACCCAGGTGGAAGAAAAAGTAGTTCCCTTCAACCGCGTATCATTCAGACAAGATCTCAGTAGTTTAGTTACTTTCCACTACCTTCCTGTTAATGATATGCA